TTCATCCCCTTAAATTCGTAAATAGACCTGTCCAGACGCCTTTACGTCTACTGCGATATTTATTGATATGTTCTTCCTAAAATATTTCCACCCTACTTTACTGCTAATGTGTCACATTATCAAGGTTGTCAAATGTCTTTTGAACAAAGTAGTAAACCCAAAATCGCACTGAACGAAAAGTTTGTTGAAAATATTAAATCAAAATATAAACTTTGCAGAAACCAATACAGAGCACAAATTGAAATAAAAACATGACACCACAATTTCTAAATTCCATAATCTACATGATCTAAGGTCATTCAAGATATATTAACTTTTCCAGATACTTTTTTTTTGGAAAATTTTATTTGTGATAACTTCTATACATTTAAAAAAAAAGCTTACGCTTAGGAATTAAAATAAGTTTTTTTTTTATTTAAAGAATCTAGAGTATTTAGATAACTCAAATTATCTAAATTCTTTAGCGGAAATATAGTACCTAGAAGAAAGATCCAACAATACCCACGGATCTAAAGGCTCTACAGAATCTCAAGGATCCAAAAAGATGTGAGGAATCTCAAAAATACAAAAGATGTCAAAAAACTCAAGGATCTAAAAGATCTTATGGGTATGAAACATCTAAAATCTCTAGAAGATTTAAAGGATCTAGAGGATTTGGTGCATCTTTATTATTTTGGAAATTTAAAGGATCTAGAATAGACAGGTGGAATCGAGAAGAATTCAAAAAACCTGAAGCATCTCTGTTTTAAATAATTTTAAATATATGTATTTAGATTGACCTGTGTAAAAAATTCTAAAAATTCTAGGGATCTAGGCTAGCTAAACTCTTACCGAATATACAAAATCCAGAGGGATCTAAAGAAAGTACAGGATCCAAAGGATCTAAAGGCTATACAGGAACTTAATAAGATATCAGTGATATAACGTGGTTCTGAAAAATATTACGGACGTCACAGATTTAGACGATGTGAAGGACTTAAAGGATCTAGAGTATTTATTTACAGGATGATCTCGATTAATCAAAGTCTTTAACGGATATAATTTCAAAACATCAATGCTCTACAGAATCTCAATGATCTAAAATTGTGACGAATCCCAAAAATATAAATAATGTCAAAGGATATGAAGAATCTAAGATCTCTAAAAAATTTAGAGGATCTAAAGGATTTGGTACATGTGCATTATTTCGCAAAATTAGGGGATCTAGATTAGCTAGTCTTTTGAAAACAGAAGATCTAGAATAAAAGAACGTACAAAATTTATTTCGGTTAACGTGTGTAAAATATTTATGTATACTGAATGTTCTACAGTATTTAAGAGATCTAAAAGATTTTAAAACCTCATGGATCTAAGGAGCTGTAGAATTTAAAGGACCTAACAATTCTAAGAATCTAGGTTAGCTAAACCCTACAGAGGATATACAAGATCCAGAAGGATACAAAGAAAGTAAAGAATCCAAAGGAGCTCAAGGTTATACAGGAACTTAGTAAGATCTCAGAGATCTAAAAAATGTCAAAGGTGATGAGCTTCTAAAAGATGTTACACGCTTCACAAATTTAGACAATGTAGAAGATCTCCAAGAATTAAATGAAGTGAAGAATGTAAATAATCTAAAAAGTCTAGAAGAATTAAAGGGTCTAGGATATTTAGAGAATCTAGATCATCTAGAGCCTTTAGCGGGCAAAGAGTACCTAGAAAGATACAAAAAAAAACGAGGGATCTAAAGGCTATACAGGGTGTCAAAGATACAAAAAAAGTGAGGAATCTCAAGAATATGTCAAAAGATATCAAAAATCTTACCGGATCTAAAAGATCTTAAGCATATGAAGGACTCTACAAGATTGAAAGGATCTAGAAGTGCATCTGCATTATTTCGGAAATTTAGAGGATTTAAATTACCCAGTCTTCATATAACACAGAGGATCGAGAAGGATCCAAAAAACCTAAAGCAACTATGGATCCATAGAAAGTAAAAATCTAAAACATCTAAAGACTATACAGGAACCCAAAAAGATCTCAGTTATCTAAAAAAAAATGTGAGGAGTGACGAGCTTGTCAAGGATGTGACGGACATCACAGATTTAGACGATGTAAAGGATCTCTAAAATTTAAATAATGTGAAAGATTTAAATAATCTAAAAAGTCTAGAAGAATTAAAGGGCCTAGAATATTTAGACAATCTAGATTACCTAAAGCCTTTAGCGGGCATAAAGTATCTAGAAAAATCAAAAAAAAAAACGAGGCGTCTAAAGGCTACACATAATTTCAAAGATCCAGAAAATGTGAGGAATCTCAAGAATATGTCAAAAGATGTCAAAAATCTTATCGGATATAGACGATCTTCAGGATATGAAGGACCTAAAATCTCTAGAAGATTTAAAGGGTCTAGAGGTGCATTTGTATTATTTCGGAAATGTAGAGGATTTAAATTAGTCAGTCTTCATATAACATAGACAATCGAGAAGGATCCAAAGAACCTAAAGCACCTCTGGACCCTTAGACGAGATGAAGGATCTCCAAGGTTTAAATGAACGTGAAATATTTAAATAATCTAAAAAATCTAGAAGATTTAAAGGGTCTAGAATATTTAGAGAATCTAGATCATCTAAAGCTTTTAGTGGGCATAAATAATCTAGAAAAAAAAAAACGAGGGATCTAAAGGCTATACAGAATTTCAAAGATCCAAAAAATGTGAGGAATCTCAAGAATATGTCAAAAGATGTCAAAAATCTTACGGATATGAAGAATTTAGGAAATTTATTTTATTTTTTTATCTAAAACATCTATAGACTGTAAAGGAATCTAATAAGATCTCAGTCATCTAAAAAATGTGAAGGGTGACGACGTTGTCAAAGATGTGTCGGACGTCACAGATTTAGACAAGGTGAAGGATATCCAAGCTTTAAATGATGTGAAAGATTTAAATAACCTAAAAAGTCTAGAAGAATTTAGAAGATCTAGATTATTAAGTCTTTAGCAGACATAGCGTATCTAGAAAGATCAAAAAAACCCAAGGATCTAAAGGTTCTAAGGATTTAAGGATCCAAAAATGTAATAGGGAATCTCAAAAATTTAAAAGATGTTAAAGGCCTCACATATTTAAAATTTCTACAAGGATGTAAAGGATCTAAAATCTATAGAAGATTTAAAGTATCTAGAGAAGAGGATCTAGAAGAATTAAAAGAACCTAAAGCATTTCTGTTTTAAATAATTTTAAATCTATTTAGGTTGACCTGTTTAAAATGCTTATACTACATGTTCAGTATCTAAGGGATCTACAAGATGTGAAAGTCGCACGAATCTAAGGATATGTAGAATTTAAACGACCTAGAGATCTAGGTTAGCTAAACTCTTCGCAGGACATACAAGTTCTAAAAGGACCCATAGAATCAAAACATCTAAAAACTATATAGGAACCTAATAAGATCTCAGTTATCTAAAAAATTTTGAAGGGTGACTTGGTTTTCAAAGATGTGGCGGACGTCACAGATTTAGACGATATGAAGGAACTCTAAGATTTAAATGATATAAAAGATTTAAATAACCTAAAAAATCTAGATGAATTAAAGGATCTAGATTATTAAAAGTCTTTAGACATAGAGTATCTAGAAAGATCTAAAAAAACCCAAGGATGTAAAGGCTCTACAGGATTTCAAGGATCCAAAAAACGTAATAAGGAATCTCAAGATGTCAAAGACCTCACGTATCTAAAATTTCTAGAAAGATGTAAAGGATCTAAAATCTCTAGAAAATTTAAAGTATCTCTAGGAGTTTGTTCCTCTGAATTGTTTGGGGAGTTTAAAGGATCTAGGATTCAAAAAACCTAAAGGATCTGTTTTCTTCTCATTCAAATAAATGTTCCGACGAATTTTATTGCTGATCATTTTTGTGGTTGCACAATTTTTCAACTCATGAAATACAAGGTTTTACCATGTTTAGCATAAATTTTTGTAAATTTTCAGTCAACTGGACGCTGATTTCACTGTGATTTTTGTTCTTTCGACGTTCATCCGTATTTTTTATGAAAACACGATTAACTGTTACAAAAAAAAAATCGAAAGTGGTACAACTAGTAAATGTTGCATGCTTTTTATACATACATATCCTGCCGGATTTCCATCACGGGTTACTGCCTAGTTTATTGTAAAACCATAAAATTTTCCCTGTATCCGTGACATCTACAGCCTGTTCCCGACCAGTCTAAGTAGGTTTACAAACATTTAAGGCAAACGTGCTCTGCATAAGAAAATAATAAAACGCAATGAAAAAATATATTACTATCACGACAAATGTTGTCGTACGTTTTGCTTATACCAAGTTTGGGTGTAACTTAATTTTTACATTAGCATTAGCGAACGGATTGAATCGGAATCGCGACAGGAGGTCGTGAAAGGTATACTGATATAGACGGTTTCAAGCATAAATTAAGCAACTTTAAATATTAAGAATAAATTCCAGTAGATTTTCTGAACAAACATTAAAAAAGTTGTTAGACGCTTAAAAACAACTAATTCTGCATTTTATAACGTGAATGTATAATTTTCTATAAACAACATATTTGAAGATAAAAACTAGTGAAAATTCCGCACCAAAGCAACATATTTTTAAGATGATAAAAGCTAAAAGTGAAAAATTCTTGTTGAAGCTTTTTAATCGATTATTTTCACTAAAATAAAATTTATTTAAATCAAATCGACTACTTTTTTTAGCTGATGATTGTTGTCTGACTTTTACAAATAAAAATACTTGAAAATTGTGTACCGTCTTTGTATACTTTTATCTATTTACGAGTAGACACTTCATCTCGGCCCCTTTGGACCGCTTTAATCATTTTTAGCCTGATCCACACCGCTCCTGTTTGCGACTCTTATCCTACGCTATTACCGGGGGCTTCTCTTATTTTGCTTTGGCTCGACGTTCTAACTGTATAATAGAGATTTCTCGTGCAACTTCCTACGTAATTATGTCTCTTTATTATTAAATTAACAGGCTGAACTTACCCTTGTAGCTTCGTTGTATCCTACTATCACCGCCGTGTACCATTGTGTCGTGCCCTCGGCCCTGTACACCTCCACCCTATAACCCGCCAAGACGCTGGGTGTGGTCAAAAGAATACGCTGACCATCTTGCTGTTCGGCCCAGCGTCTTACGGCTGCCTTCAATTCTGGATAGTCTGGCACACCTGGCAAACTCGAATCCCACTCCTGAAACGAAAGACTCAAGTAATAAAATTTTCGGAGCTGACAGATGGAACAATAGTGGCACGTAAGAGGTGGCACGTGAGATATGTGAGGTTTTTGCCCTCCTTTGTGAGGTGTAATGTTTAATAAAAATTTCAAAGGAGATTCAGAGGGTGTTCAAAAAATGGAAGCTGGAATAAAATGCGAGATTTTGTAAAATGTGATGATGTGGCTTGCTCAGCCGTATTATTATTTTTCACGTTATTTACATTGTTTTTTATTCAAAACGATACATGAATAAAGGTAACAGATGCTCGTCTTCTGAAAAATACATATGTGTATGTAACTTAAAAATGTTCATGGGCGGAAAACGAGAAAATGGTCTTGGCAATAGATTTTAGTTTGGATTTTTTCAGATTTCGTGTTAAAGCCTGTAAATAACTGTCACATCAAACTACCAATTAGATTAAAATTGATCTAAATTTACTACTGACATTTACTGTAACATGCACGGACCATCAAAATTGAGTGATAACTCGTATGGATGCACACTATTGGAATTAAATGATTGAATATGAATGAATTTGACGAGTTCACAGTCCCTGTGAAATGTAAAGTCAATCAAATCATAACAATTTGTTGCTAAATAAGTTATCACTTTTCTATAATTTTCGTCCACTAGTTTATCTGTCTACAAATATTTCTAAGTCACGAATCATCAATGGCACATAACAACAAATTAAATTGGGGCTAGAAAATAATTTTCCTGTCAATTACGTTCAAATGAAAATTCTGTGTCCCCTAGATACATTTAACTGTGCCTAAATCGTTCTAGATTCACAAGAAAAAAATATCAATATGGTTGAATGCCCAGGGACCAACAATTTAGACCGGTGCCGAGTGCTCGGGCTCTCATAAAATATTAGTGTTAGCATTTTTTCTAATTTTTTTTATAGCTTCACGTGGGCAAACACATCAAATTTGAGCTAGAAATCAGTTACCTCGCCAAGTTGAGTTTGTTGAAGTATGTAGCAGCGGGTTTGAGAACTCTGAATTTCTTACACACGCTTAGATTTGCCTAAATTTTCTCAGATTTATAAAAGGAGACGTTTGCCGTCAGTTTTTCTGGGTCATATTTAAGTTACAATTAGTTTTCTCGTTAAACTTTGAGACCTAAACCTTAGAGGTTTAAAGAATTCTAATTTTTCAACAGTACTTGCACACATGCATCGAAAAAATGTTATACTAATAACAATTTACTTGTCTCTATTAATAAAATTTTACACTGGTTCTTACAACTGAAGGTACGCGAAGAAAAATGTTGCTGCCCCGGTGGGAATCGAACCCAACGTCTCCCACTTGCCGGGCGGGTGCCTTGACCACTAGACACGAGGTCGCTTATCTTTCTCCGCTTACCAACGTGTTATTGTGGCGCCACACAACCATAAGTTACTTTATTTAAACATAAATTGACTCATTCATTAACTTTTTTGAGTCACCATATACGCATTTCTTAAAAGTATGAATAAATTACAAACATAACAAATATATTTTGATGAAAAATTTACAGTGCTTACGATAACTTTTAAAGGTCTGCAAGATTTCAAAGTGTTCGGTTTTGGAGTTTCAAAATTACATTGCACAATATTGTAATACAATTTTGAATTTTTTTCCAAAAATCTGGATGTCTCGGGTAAAAACACGGATTTATAATGTACACGCGTGGGGCTATGTTATTTATACAATTTAAAGGCCGATTTTGGTATTCTTCTCAAAAAAAAATAAATGTTATAGCAAAAAGTATAACAGAACAGCTTTTTTTCTTTTATTAACATTCTATTAATTCCCATTCGCACTCTACCAAAGAACAGATAATTAACCCCGCCCACCCGCCCCGCCTCCATTTCATAGATTCATTTTTTCTAGCCCTAATGAAAAGTGGATCTCATGCTGAACAGAAATAAAATCGTTAGAATGAGAACAGCGAGAGTGGGTGGGGCTAGTACTTGCTAAGATAGAACTAATTTTGGTAAATGACTTACCTTCTAAGAAAACAAAGGGTGGGTGGGCGGGGCTAGTATTTGCTAATATAAGAGTGATTGTGGCTAATGACATACCTTCTAAGAAAAGAAAAGGCTGGTGGGAGGGCCTAGTACTTGGTAAGATAAGACTAGTTGTGGCAAATGTCGTACCCTTTAAGAAAAAAATGGGTGTATGGGCGGGACTAAAAGTTGCTAAGATAAAACTGAACAATATTAAGAGTAGTGTCTGAAATGAAGAGAGGGTGGGTGGGTGGGGCTATTGCTTGTCTATAAAAGACTCTGTAGGAAAAAGTTAAACTTATTGTGTATAATTTTAAGATGTTGTTAGCCAAATTTTAGGTACTATTGCATTTGACATCTAAATATATGATATTCCTAATATACATACAAAGTTTGACAACAAACGGTCCAGTAGTTTTGTATATTATCTGTCTAATAAAAATCACCACAGACAGGCAGACAGACAGACAGACAGACGATAGACGGAAAGGTCCAGAAATTATGAAATTGGCATTCGATTGAATCACCCTTGGTTTTGTCGTAAAAAATCATACTTTTGCGACTTTTTTTGCGTTGCTTACATTGTTAAAAAAATGGTAGAAGATTATTAAATATAGATAAAACCAGTAATAGAGTAACAAGCCAAATGATATCTATAAATACATCCAATATTTTTTTGTGGTTGTCTACGTCATCCAACTTTTTTAGAGATTCTTGTAGAGCTCGTTTTTGTGAATTCATTAATGTATCACATTTTAAACACTCCTCCTCCTCCTCCTCCTGGTCTCGAGTGTAGTTCTCCTCCACTCACGGTAGGAAACGGATTAACAATTGTTCAAAATACAAAAGCATTGATAAAGAGTAAGGCCATGCTCGTATTTCTAGTGAGTTCTCCCATTTGAAAATGTTCCGATCGACATTATTTCAGTAAGAACACGTATTTCAGTTACAACACGTGCAGTGTAATACTAGTAATAAAACACTCGAGTGCACCGTTCTTGAGATTTGATCATTAAATTAAAATCTATATTAAATTTGGATGCCTCGGGAAAAATGTTAAAGCAGATTCATAAACAACACGAGTATGTTATTTTATAAAATTTAAATCCTACTTGACTTTCAAAATTTTTGAGAAGTCTTCACATTGTTGGTAGTGACGATTAGGTAAATTTTGGTTAACGTTTTACAATGAACATGGTATTCTTAACATATTTATGTATAAAATTTGACGACAATCTGTCTCATAAAAATCTGAACAGACGACGGACAGACAGACAGACGGAAACTAAAAACCAAACTATGTACATACAATACAGGAAGTTATAAAATTAATAAATTCTAATAAATATCGACTCAGGCAGACGACAGACGACTATCATTTATTATTATATTATTTGTTCTAAGTTACCACAGTAACCGTATTTTTTAATAAATAAAATAAGAAAATTCAGGTTGAGTAATACAGTGTTTTCCGTTTTTGCAAAAGATGCAATGTTGCTTATACACTTCAAGGCTGCAATATCGCCGCATACAATTGAAGCTTTCTTCTACACAAAAATAAAAAAGATGATTACCGAGCTTCAACAACAATGTTCAACAAAAGCTTCCTTTTCAAAACAATTCTTGTATTCTGTTCCGTTTCACCCCCTTGGGTGTTTTTTTATTTTCCTTACGAGGCAAGAAAATGCTCACTTTCTCCTCCAACATAACAACTGCAAATATGAATTTTATTTTCGTATAAGGTCAAAGGCAGGTTTTTGTAATAATTATGCTGTTAGTCTTACCTCTTCATTTCAAGCAAAATAAAGCATACAAACTGAAGAAACACATAAATTAAAATAAATTAAGTCTACAAAAAATTTGTGGGTAACCGCTAGCGACACGTCTTTAGCACTCTCGAATGATAGTATAACTCGGTCAACGTCTCGTCAAGTAAAGTTCATTCATGTGTGTTAAAACATAACTTTGTGCTCTAGTTCGACAAATAATTATTAATGACATGTAAAGCGAACACTAAAGTATAGTGATCGCTTAAAGTTAGTGCTAATTTTGCAGCCAATCTACTCGCAGTTCATTTAAAATTATTATTATTAATTTATAGCATAAAGTGACTTTCTCCAACTGTATTTGTGAAATATTGTTATGAAAATTGAATAAAATAAACGAGGAGTAGATATACTGGACTCTTCTCTAGACGAACTTCGGCAAGTATTTTGTATATATGGGAACCTAGAGTGATACATTTCTTTCATCACTTGGCAAATGAAAATGTTACATATTGTTTATTTTATTAATGCTATCTACTGAACCACGAAAATTCTAGCATAATGAAGTGAGGAAAGTGAAGCATTTGAGTTCAAAAATAAACAAATTATTCGCCAATCAAGTCGATGCAGCTTAGTTCAGAGTCAATCAATAAATCGTGAGCAACATTCTCTTCTCCGCTTTCTTAGAATCGGCAAGAACTACAGCCGAGTTTTTCTTTACTATTTTCACTCCTAGCGCCTCTTAATTGAGCATGCACTAAAATCCCCTTCCGAAAACACGACCGACCACAAAGACTACCAACTTTAAAACTACTTGGTAACAACAGCACGTGAACCGGTAATTTGGATCGTAGCGTTCTTGTTCGCTCGTTTTCGATCAAGGCGGAGATTGTGCGGCAATTTTAATCCGTCGCATAAATAAATCAATTTGGATAGAATTGCGGCGGCGACTAGTGGCTTCCATTAAAATAAAAAACTTGCGTGCGGAATAAAAACCAGTTGTACAACTTGACCAAGAAAGCTCGAATTCAGCAAGAAACCGTAGCCTGGCAACCAAGACACGGCCGCATCAGGATTTAAAAAATCACTATTGACGAGAACAGGTTCGCCAAGTTGCAGGACACGACCTATAGGCGGCCATAACGACTTCCAACGACCAGCGCGTTATCTTGTTCTAACTGAGTCACCATTATCGCTCTAAAAAGATTAATAATGT